ACACACACACACACACACACACACACACACACACACACACACACACACACACACACACACACACACACACACACACACACACACACACACAGAGGTTGACGGCAACACGATGAGCGTACTTTGCCGTGTGCGAGTGGCCGGCTTCCAGTGCTCTGCATTGATCATGTTGAGGCAAATCTCCGTGCCCTTCTCATTGACATTGGGGTGATAGATGGGCGTGACAAACTTGACCTGGGAAGCGTCGATAAAATGATGTTGTTGCAAGAGAAACAAGATAAGCGGGTGACGAGGTGAGGCTGAGAGACAGCTGTCGAGAGACAACTGTCGAGAGAACTGTCAAGAGACAACTGTCAAGAGAGAACTGTCGAGGCATGGGGGGTGGGTGATCGACACGACATGCGCACACTTTACTGCCCACACACCACGAAACACCCTACCTTTGGCGCCTCAAAAGGGAACTTGTCCGGGTATGTAATCTCCACCTCAAACTTGGCCTTGTTGAAGGGCGGCTCCGTCTGATGGCAGAGGAATGCACATGGGTGAGTCGTGAGGGAAGCGAGAATTGTCACAGAAAACGCATTCAACACACTCAAGACCCATGATGGCGTGCTGTGTGTCGACAGGAAGAATGAAGGAGGTAGGAAGGTTGAGGGGGGCCAAACGAGCAAACGATGATGATGCGATCAAGCGTTGTTGACGAACCGGGAGGATCGTGGCTTTGACGTGTGTCATGTCGGCCTCATCAAAGGTGATGCCTTCCACGTTGGGAACCCCCTTGTGGAGATCTTTCATCTCCTGCGAACGTGTGAGAATGTGCGAATGTGTATGTGTGAGAGGGAGAGAGAGAGAGTGTGTGTGTGTGTGTGAGTGTGTGTGTGTGAAGCCGCCGTGAGCATGCACGGCAAGCACGCACATATGTACCATGTACGGCTCACCATTTGCAAGCGACGTGGGTTTGGCATAGCTGGACGTGTGGGTGGAGATGGACAGGAGACAGATGTGTCAACAAAAGAAACGATGGCGAAGGAAAACTGAATTCAGTTGGTGCGTTTGAAGCGTACAGCCGAGCGAGCTGTGACATGAGGACATGATCTTCCGTGTCCCTGCTTGCTTCTTCTAGTTCAACAAACACAAACGGCCTCAGAAGTGACTCTCTGTGACAAGCACAACCTCAGACCCACTGTCTCACCCCACCATGCTCAGTCTCAGTCGACACAACTTATTGAGTCACCTCAGGTTCCTTTCCATTCAAAGACTCAACGAGTCAACACAGAGGACAATCACACCATCATAGAATCATGTCAAACAGCAGACAGAGGAGGATACAAGCACCACAAAAAGACAAAAAGAGTGAGAGTGCGTGAGTGAGAGTGGTGTTAGGCCCGTAGTGACACAGACCCAGATAGAGATACAAGCACAAACAGAGTGAGAGAGTGTGAGAGAGGATGTCACACGCATAACACTCTCAGCACAGCGTGTAATCAAACAAGATGGTGGTCCTTGAGCTCTCCAAACGACGGCCGCTCACGCGGGTTCTGCGCCATGCACTTGTATGTCAGCGACTGGAACCACTCAGGGATGGCTGCGGATGGAGGTGTGTGCATGTGTGTGTGAGTGAGAAGAGAGGACGTGCAAGCAATCCAAGCACACACACACACACACACACACACACACACACACACACACACACGTACCAGCAGCTTCTCACCATCTTGTTCGCTGTCATCAAATCGCAATCGCTTCCCATCCTCCAAAAGATTGCTGATGGTGGCGAGGATTGGGCCACGGAAGTCACTCCCTTTCTCCTGCTCAATCAAGTCCGGCACACGCTGGGTCGCCACCTCCCACATCAGCACGCCAAAGCTGAACACATCCGCCTCAAAGCTGTACTTGCTCCCCGTCAGCGCCTCTGGTGCCATGTACAACGGTGTGCCCACGCCAGCCGTCAGTGTCATGCTCGTCATCGTCTGCAGTCCAGCCTGCTGGCTGTATTGTGGGTCATCATGGTTGGATGACAGGCGAGTGTGGCTTCTGCCGTGGGCTCTGCCACCACGAGAAAAGCACTGGCGAATGGACCCAAAATCCGTAATCTTCGCGCGAAGGGACGACGACACCAGCACGTTGCCGCTCTTCAGATCTCTGTGGATGTGGATGAGCGTGGAAGCAGTGGTGGGTAGGATGGTGCGGTGAGCAAGAGTGCGTACCCGCATGCAAGCATAGATACGCAGCTTCAAGCACACGCACACACTCACATACACACACGTTCACAAACACACACACACACACAAGCACACCTGTGCATCTGGTCGAGGCTGTGGATAAAGGCCATGCCACTCGCAACGTCACGCAGCAGTCGCAGCTTCAGACCCCACACACTGTTCACATCATCACCCACACCACCACTGCTGCTTTCCTCGACCTTAGTGTTCCTCACTTCCATCAACACCTTCTCCATGTCCTTTCCCAGCAGGTCCTTGAGTGACCCCAGCGCCACAAACTCCAGCACCAGGAACGGGCTGCCGTTGGGATCTGTGCCCGCACCAAAGAACCGCACCACGTTGGGGTGCCGTGTTCGCTGCAGAAACTCCACCTCCTTCTCAAACTCCAACACCGTGCTCTCGTCAAATGCCATGACGGCTTGCTGCAGCACTTTGACTGCCACTGTCACCGTGTCCCACTCTGCCTTGAACACCACGCCAAAGGCACCCGCAGCAACCCGCTTGATCATCCTCAGCTCATCGTACTCAATCTCCCACGCCTTCTTCAGCGCCATCACCTCCTCATCCCTCTCCACCAGCAGCTGTTCCTGTAGGCCGATGCGTTTCGTCATGCCACGGTAGCGGCGTGACAGCCAGGCCATGAGCAAGCCAAGCGCAAGGCCGCCAATCACAGAGCCAGCAGCCACGGCAGCAATGTCCGGCTTGTCCACCACGCACTGCCCACTGGAGGTCATCTTGAACCCACGAGCACATGTGCAGTGGAAGGAAAACACAACCTCAGACGTGATCGCGTTGAGGTCGCGTACGAGGCGAAAGTCTTGTTTTGAAACCTGGATCGGGCACTCAATTGGCGTGCCTTGGAGCTGCAGGGTTGGCAGTGTCGTACGCGACGAGATGACAACGAAATCGATAGAGAACAAGGCCTTCTGGGAAAGGGCCGTAGCGCGCCCAAGAATACGGTTAACTTCCACAGGCCTGTTCAGCCACGCGTTGTTGGAAAAGTCCAGCAGGTCCACTCGAAGAAGGCAAGCACGTGCTGTGACTGCAGCGGCTTGAACATCCACCCCGGCCAAATTGCGCGCGAAGAGGGCTTGCCGACCCCAGCGCGTGCACAGCGTACCAGTCGGTAGAAACTTGGTATGGCTGATATCCAAAATGTCGATGGGAGGGGCGTCAATCGAGGTGAGCTGGGTGCATCTGGAGACGTTGAGCTCTCTCAGGACACTGTGGACGGTGACAGACTGCAGTTGCTTGTTGTCCGTGAGAAGGAGGTTCTCAAATGCCCTGCCCGGGCACACGTTCATAGTCTGGTATTCTGTGTTGGTGATGCGCAGCTCTCGCACGTTGGGCGCAAGCAGCTGGCACACGCCAGTGAGTGGCAGTGTTCTGGCGTTGGCACCGGCCCACCCCACGCGCAGTACAACTAATTGCAGAGGTGGCAGGCTCCGCAGCGATGGAAGCAATGCTGTGATGTCCACATTATCCAGGCCCAGAGTGATCAGAGGTGGGACAGCGGTGATGCTTGAAGCTTCCAACACTGCAGTGGACTGGATGTGCGCGGAGGCGTCCAGCTCAAGGATCTGGAGACGAGACAGGTGACACAGGGGCGCCAAGTCAAGACGCTCTATGTGGTGGCGTTGTAACAGGAGAGTGTCCAGGGCAGGCGTCTGCGAGACGTCTGGCAACGCCTGTATGGGGTTGCCACGGAGAGAGAGTCGCTGGAGGGCTGGCAGCTGTCTCGAGAGCCGCACGTGTGTCAAGTGATTGTTGTCCACATCAAGGGCCAGCAGTGACGACAGCGAAGAAGCAGCAAGAACGCCGTCTATCGAACGAAGGGCGTTGTTGGAAAAGGAAACCTGGCGAAGAGCAGAGGTGCTTGCGAGGAGTCTCGGCGGCAGTGTGACAAGGTGGTTGCCGTTGCAGAAGAGCACTTGGAGACGCTCGCACTTCTCCAAAATGACCTCTGGCAGCAAGGAGATGTCGTTGTCCCGCAAATCAAGGAAAGTCAGTGATGTCAGGTCCCGGAACACGGCTGGTGGCAGCGATGTCAGCCGGTTTTGGAACATCTGCAAAACCTGCAGGGACGATAGCCCGGAGAACATCGTCTCGGGAAGGGACGTCAGGAAATTGATGGCCAGCCCAAGGCTGGTGAGTCGGGTGTTGTGGCTGAAAAGAGTCGGGGCAAGGCCTGTAAGGCGCATGTCTTCCAGAGTCAGCTGATCCAGCATCGTCAGTGCATGAAAAACGTCCGGATCAAGGTGTGTGATTGGGTTCCGCTGCAGCTGCAAAAGCGACAGCTGCGTAAGGCTCTGAAACAGGCCAGCGGAGAGAGCACTCAAGTCGTTGGAGAAGAGCACCAGCCACTCGAGTGCGGCGAGGTGATCAAACGCCCCTGGCTCAATCTGGGTAATGAGGTTCTGGTTCAGGAAGAGCTGCTGCAACGATGTCAGGTCCTTGAGATCATCCTTGAGAATGCGGCGAATGCGATTGGCATGCAAGCCAAGGACAGTCAGCGATGTCATGTCTGACACAGCAGGAACGGTCGGCAGTGAGCAGTTTGTCACATGGAAAATGGAAAGGCTCTCTGGCTGCTGAAAGCCACGCGTGTCGACCTCACGCAGCTGCTCGCTGTTGCGGATGGTAATTCTGTGGGCGTGCATCATGGGGTTGAGCATGCTCAGCTGAAACGTGGGCAGCTGTAAGCCCTCCAAGGTCACGTCGGTGCACAGCGTCCAGTTGCCGTTATCCACGAGCCATTGCAGAGGCTCTTCCTCCACACGCCCATTCACCGTCAGGTTCAAAACGGAAGTGGAGATGGCGAGGAGCGGCAAAGCCTCTGTCATGTCCCCAACCTTCTCGTCTCCCCTCAATGAGATGACAAGGCTGCTATTTCTTGTGGGACCCAGGCACAGCCCATCAAGTACTTGTGCCAGCGTGCATATTCCAGCCTGCATGACAGCTCCATCATCACTTCGTCGCACGCGCCTTTGATGTCGCTGCTGCTGCTGTTGTCGCTGCTGCTGCTGCTGTTGTTGTTGCTTCTGAGTGGCCTGTGCGACCTTTGCGTTTCGGGTGGTGTCCACTCTGTCGTCCACGTGCGTGGGCGCTGAAAACGGGGGCACACGTGAGGCGGTGTGACTTGGGTCATGACGAGCTGATTCGTCATCGCTCCGCTGAGGCTGCTCGTCATTTCGGTTGCCGCAGCCAAACGCAGTCATCATGCGGTGCACCGGTGACAGGTCGACGACGAGCGAAGAGTGCAGGGTGTTTGCAGTTGCCGCAGCGCCTTGGACTTCGTGTGTCGTTGCGTTGTGGGAGGAGTCGTCTTTGCTGCTGCTGCTGTTGCTGTGTGCATGGGGATTGGGGGAAAATGCCACGCCATGCGTTCTCAGCACGCGCACCATGCTCTCTAGTGTGCCATGTACTTCCGAGCAGAGCTGAAGGAAATGTTGTGGGGGGGGGAGGTGAAGGGGAGGTGTGTGTGTGTGTGTGTGTGTGTGTGTGTGTGTGTGTGTGTGTGTGTGTGTGTGTGTGTGTGTGTGTGTGTGTGTGTGTGTGTGTGTGTGTGTACGACAAGGTTAGCAGTGCAGCACCAGCACAAAGCAAGCATTACAGACAAACGAACGAAAATACATAAGAAAACCAAAACGACTTCCTGGCACAGCACACCTGCTTGTCTTGTTGGAACCGGAGTGGTGTGGTTGGAGTTGCAGCAGTTGCTGAGCATGCGTGCATGGTCACCGTGACGGCTGCCACGACCAGCACCATCACCACAGCCGTCGTCATTGTGCCTCAAAGTTTGACACACTTCAACAAGAAGGCCTGAAGGAAGGCAAGGGCACTAAGGGCAAGCTCTGCAAGCAACAAGGCAACAAAAGAAGAGCAGCAAGAGCGGTGCTTGATGTGGCGCTTTGCTCTTCTTTGCTGCTGTTTGTGGAAAATCACCTGAAGCCATTCACGATCTTCGACAACACAAGTCAGCAAAGGACTGCTGTCTGTTTCCTTGTAGCACTGCTTGCTTGCTTGCTTTCGCCAAACAAGAGAAGAACAACATCTCACAGCACACAGCAGCACCAAACACAACATCCCATCACACCAAGATGTGTGTGCGCCTTGTCGCGGCCTTCCGTGCCTGCATGCTCCTCGTTGTTGCTGTGCTTGCCAGCCTTGCGCTGTTTGGTGCTGCTTCTGCGCAAACGCAAACGCAACCGCAAGCTGAGACCTCGGACGAGGAGCTGTGTGTGGACCACCTTCGGCGAAGCATCGAGGACTTTGTGGATGCCATCACCACGTCTTCATCTGGGGACGAGGGCGTCATGCGAACGCGCATCCAGGAGCATGTGGACAAGTTCTACACAGAGGACCTTGCTGCAGAGTTTCCGTCGTTCATGCCACGCACGCACGCCTCGATGGTGGACGCGTACAGCCAGGTGAACACGCCGCCAGGGTGCGGCCTCAAGGTGACGTTTGAGGTGACGGACGTCATGGCCGTCAACAACAGCGCCGTGGCCAGCAACAACCCGGAGGAGCGGCGCATCAACTGCGTCATGGCCATGACGTTTGCCATGGCCACGTACTCCACGGAGAAGCCCGGCCCGCCGTGCCTCTTCACCATCCCCGAGCGCCTGAACGCCCGCCTCAACCCGCACCTCGACAAGATGGAGGTGTTCAACCTGAACGTGGACGGCCCGCTCATGGGCCAAAAGCTCGGCTCCTGCTTCAAGACGTGCTTCAGCGGTCATGGGGGGCACGATGAGCTGTGACGAGGAGGAGTGGAAGGTGTGTGTGTGTGTGTGTGTGTGTGTGTGTGCGTGTTGTGGAAGGTGAGGGGGGCGGATGGTTGTGCGTGTGTGCGTGTGTGTGTGTGTGTGTGGTGGGATGTGGGCAGTGACGTGTTTGCATCTGTACTTCTTGTCCGCTCTCGCTGCCCCTCCTTCCTGCTGCTGTTACATTCTCTTCTGACTTGAGGCACAGTGACCGAGTGCTTGCTTGCATGCGTGTGTTCTTTGTGTGCTTGTTTTGACTTGTGCTTCTTGCGTCTCTTCGTTCATCCCTTCATCCACGCCAGTACATCCTCGTTTCAAAGTCATTCTATGATGTGCACGGTCGAGCAGCACGCAAGTTCAACAATGTCACGCATTCACACAAACACCACAGAAGACAATCCACAATATGCATCGCCACCAACCCATCTCTCTTGATAACAACTGCACAGGTCAAGCGCAGCACCACGCAATTGCATACACCAAGCGGATGAAGGTGAAAGTGCCACGAACGGCCAGTTTGTGTGTCAAGCAGGAATGCCGCATCGCTTGACACTCAACACCACGCGGCCACTCCTGTTGCCTCTGTTGCTGCAGTAGCTGCTTTGGTGGGTGGGGACTGTCGCTGGGGGAATAAATAACGTGCTGTGGTGCGGCCTGTGCGCTCGCTCTTGTGTCGTCTCGCCATGCTCCACGCTCTGGCGCAAAGGGTCTGCACAAGAGGGGCAGTCGAGTGGAAGCAGCAGACGAACGGGGGAAGCATCCAGCATGTGTACGCCATCCTCTCAGTTGCGCATTGCGGTGCGTTGCGTTGTGTGCAGGAGCAGATGCGCATCACATCACAGCACACATTTGTTTGGTTCCATTGCCGCTGGGGGGGGGGGTGTCGGACAATGAATGATGCGAGGTGATGTGACGCTTGTTCTCAGGATAAGAGGAGTGTTTATCGAAGTGACCACAAGCACTGCAGTAATGGTGTACTGGTGGGCAACAGCTGTGCAGGAAGAACAAAGCCAGAGGCTGGGTGGTAGGCAAGCCACAACAGGAAAAGGGGACACGCTTGCAAGTATGCAGCCAAAGCAAGGCAACGAGAGTCGTTGATTAACACCCAGGGTCGATGACAAGTATGTTCTCAGCATAATGTGGAATGGCGTAGATGATGCCGTTGTTGGCGAGCACGCCATCCCACCATTTCGAGTTTCCAACAAGGTTGTTGACGGCAGCTGTGTCGCTGGTGTTGGTGGCTGGATCGAAGATAAGGACGGACGAGGATTCATATGGAATACCTATGATGTTGCCGTTGGGTGCAAGCACACCACCAACCCATTTGGCTGTGCTGGTCGTGTCAGTAATGGTGATCGTGTCTGTGGTATTGGTGGCTGGATCAACGACGAGCATACTTCCAGCATAGGATGGCATCGTGTGGATGAGGCCGTTGCCAGCCAGGACGCCACCCCACCACTTGGTAGTCGTGCCCAAGCCAGCCAGCGTGCCCGTATCCATTGTGAGTGCCACCGGGTCAATGATGAGGACTGAGGCTGCGCGGACTGGCATACAATAGATGAGGCCGTTGGCGGCCTGTACGCCGCCGTACCACTTGTAGGCATCGGAAGGGAGGCCACCCATGGTGGTAGTATCCGCGGTGTTGGTGGTGGGGTCGATGACCAACACAGATGTGGCGGAATAAGGAACAGCGAAGATGAGGCCGTCGCTTGTCACAACGCCGGTGTACCACTTGTGGCTGCCAGATCCAAGCGACTGAATGCTTGTTGTGTCAGCTGTGTTGGTCTCAGGGTCAACGATAAGCATCGTGGTGTTTCCTGCGGGAAGCATGTAGATGAGGTTGTCGTGTGTGAGGACAGCACCGGCCCACTTCTCTTTAGCTGCTCCAAGTCCGGCGATGGTGGTGGTGTCGACAGTGTTGGTGGTGGGATCGATGATCAGGACTGAGTCAGCATCAAATGGGGTCGCGTAGATCAAGCCGTTGCCAGCCAATACCCCGCCAATCCACTTGTTTGTGGAGCTGCCAAGGTCTCCGAACGTGCTGGCACTTGGGGAACACACCTCAGCTCTCAGCGCATCGATCCTTCCTTGGTTCACGCTGATCGTGCCCTGCTGCTTGTCGATCGTGGTCTGCTGCTCCTGCACGTTTTGCTCATACTCCTGCAGCATGCTCTGCTGTGTTGCCACCGTCTCGAACAGCGCATCCACGTTCATCCCGTTGACCAAAACGGGCTGGCTCGCTGGATCGCTCGTGTTGATGTGCAGTGCGCCCGCATCGTCCTCCACAAACGTCACTTCTCCTCTCATTGGTTCTGCGAGCAGGACGAGAAGGAGAAGGAAGAGGATGGTGGGCAGTAAGCGGGGGAGGGAGGGAAAGGCTGCTGTGGTTGTTGTTGTTGGTGTTGTTGTTGCGCTTGTTGTTGGTGTGCATCTCATGTCGCTGAGCAGCATCTCGTCTGCTGTGCTTGCTGTGCTGTGCTGTTGCTTGTCTTGCTTGGTTGTTCGTGCACAAGTCTAGAAAAAGCAAAGCAAGCAAAATCGCAGCAGCCACTTCGCTCTTCTCTGCAGTCTTTCCTCTTCAGCTTCCCTCTCCCTGCTGTTCTTGTTGCTTGCAGCCAGCTCAAGAAGACACGCACACTCCTTCCTTCATTCCTTCAGGTACTGCGTGTTGCCTGCTTGCCTGTTGCCTGTTGCAGAAGAGAGGAGGGGGATGAGGCACACCGTCCCTTCGTTCCTGAGGCAGTCGCTGTTACTGCTGCGTGCAGCTTCGCCACTCCACTCTCCTCGCTTCCACCACACAGTCCACTCCACTGCTCCCAGTGTGAGATCACATCACATTACTGACCTTCCGCAGGCTCCCTCGCTGTCCTCGTTGCTGTTTCGTCCACACACGACCAGAGGAGACGCCGCCTGTCGTCGACCACCCAGCTTTCCTTGCTGAGGCAATGACACGGGAGAGGCAGAGACCCCTTCCTTCGCTGCACCGCCAGCTGATTGTAGTGGGGGGGGGGTGGCGATGAGGTTTGATGTCAGCAAGAGCAGCACACGCTATTGCGTGTTCGCGTGCCACGTACACTTGGCTTGCTGTGACACAGTGGAAGAGGCAGAGGAACCACTCTGATTCCATTTACACACGTGGAGGATAGGAATATGGCACTCATCGCAAGACCTCACCCCGACGTTCACCGAGACACACCTCTCCCTCGCTGGCATTCCACTGCGCACCTGAGCACGCGTGCATGGATGCACGCATGGATGCACGAGCATCCACTCTCCCTCTTTCCACTCATTGAGCAGCCAGACCAAGGTGCAAGCCAGCAACGCGTGTGTGTTTTGATGTGAGGTAGTGAGGATGGTGTCTTCTCCTTGGGTCGTGTGCATAACGTGTCTGGTTTGCTCACATGATGCATTCCAACATGGTGTGTGTGTGTGCGGTGGCTTGATGTGCATCACGCTCACGTTGTTGTCCTGTTTCCTGTCGTGCTTCTGCCTGTTGCAGGTGAACCTGCACCTGCACTGTGCTGCTGGGGGTTGGCCGTGACCTCTGCGTGTTCCCCTGTCGGGCTCGACCGCACGAGCAACGCCTCCACTGTGTTGATATCCATGTCCATGTTGTGGATGACATGGACTGCAGTTGTTTTGCTCGTGTACTGATGACTGACTCAAAAGAGTGATTGCATTGGTGTCCTGGAAGAGGTGGCTTCCCTTCGGCATAAGTGCGTGCATCATCGTAGTGGCACAGCTGTTCAAACTGCATGGATGCGAGTGTGTCAAGGAGTTCACGTCAAGCTCTTTGAGTGTTGCAGTCTTGCAGTTGACACTGTTCTTGATGTTTTGACAATCGGGCCGGGGTCAATGCATGTATGTACAGTTGAAGAACAATGAACAGCATCGATACGCAGGGTACAAGGAGAGAGACAGAAGAAGGAACACAGAGGTTGACAGAAGCAGCAGGGTGGAAGACTGAAAGAGCCAAGGCGGTGCAGAAAGGTGCGAGTAGGAAAGCATGTGCACACACACACACACACACGCACACACAGGCAGACAGACAGACACAAAGACACATGTACATATGCACACACACACACACACCCACATCAGCACCCAGGGTCAATCACAAGGACCGACTCGGCATCATGTGGAATGCCGTAGATGAGGCCGTTTGGTGCGAGCACGCCATCCCACCACTTGTAGTCGCCACCAAGATCGTTGACGGTTGTTGTGTCGGTAGTATTGGTGGTTGGATCGAAGATGAGGAGGGATGAAGAGCTGAATGGAATGCCAATGATGTTGCCATTGGGTGCGAGCACGCCACCAATCCACTTTGTGACGCTGATTTGCTGAGCGATTGGTAGTTCGTCGGTGGCGTTGGTGGCTGGGTTTATAACAAGCGCGGTGGCAGAGGATGCTGGGATGGTGTAGATGAGGCCATTCCCTGCCAGCACACCACCAAACCACTTTGCTCTCGTGTCGAAGCCGCTGATGGTTGTGAGGTCCATTGTGAAGGACTCTGGATTGACGATGAGGACAGAAGACGCCGACCTGGGGATACAGTAGATAAGGCTGTTGTCCGCTTGCACACCGCCGTACCATTTGTATTGCTGGCTCGACAGCCCGGACAGCGTGGTGGTGTCGGCTGTGTTGGTTTCTGGATCAATGATCAGAACTGCCGTGGCGAAGTACGGAACGCCGAAGATGAGGCCGTTGTGAGCCACCACACCGCTAAACCACTTGGCATCCATCGATCCAAGCGAGTGGATGCTGGTGGCGTCAACTGTGTTGGTGTCCGGATCGATGATGAGCATGGTCTCCCTTCGTGAAGGGAACATATAAATAAGCCTCGTCTGTGCCAACACAGCACCCGCCCATTTGTTCTTGTCCGTTCCAAGTGCGGTGATTGTGGTTGTATCGACGGTGTTGGTGCTGGGGTCGATGATGAGCACGGAAGGGGAGTTCCGAGGTGCAGCGTAGATCAGGCCGTTGTTGGCCAGCACACCCCCAAGCCACTTTCCACCCAGGGAGTCGAGCTGGCCAAACGTGCTGGCGCTCGGGGTGCACACTTTGCTGCCAAAGACACAATCGATCATGCTCTGCTGCACCGAGACGGTGCTCATCAGCGTGCTGAGTGTCTCGTGCACATTCACCCCGTTCACAAACACCGGTTGGCTCATTGGATCGCTAGTGTTGATGTGAAACGCGCCCGCATCATCCTCCACCAGCGTCACCTCTCCAACAACGCTGCTGATGAACGGCATCCAGCACACTGCCGCCGCCACCACCAGCAGCACGGGGAGCAGCATCACACGTGCCTGCAGGCACCCCATCGTTCTCATCGCACAAGAAGAGGAGAAGAGGAGAAGGAGAAGGAGAGAAGAGAAGAGAAGAAGAGGAGAACAGAAGGAGAAGTTAAGTCTGCCTTCCTCCTTCCTCGTTCGCGTGGCTGTTCGCAGGACAGGCGCAACACCAAGAGAAGACAAAAGAAGACCGGATTGGTTGTTGTTGTTTGTGGCGTTTTTGGCTGGTTGTGGTTGTGGACGATTGTTGGGAATCGTGCATTGGATTTCCAGCCACACACAAGCAAGCAAGTTCACTGTTGTGTGTGTGTTGTTGTTGTTGTGGAAAGGAGCACGTTGACACGCATCCATCCCTTGAGACAGCCTTCCATCCATCCATCCATCCATCCATCCCTCAGCCTTCCTTCATCACCTCATCACTGGACCAACAAGGACAGAGCACACACGGCACACAGCTTCATCACGCAGTGCAGAAGAAGGGCGTGAGTTGAACACATGTGAAGGAGGCAGCCATCGTGACTGAAGAATACACTGTTCATCCAAAGGTGCGTGTGTGTGAGTGTGTGTGAGGTCATTCCATTACATTGCATTGCATTGCATTGCCCAGCCTTATCTACGCAACACACGTAAACGCATACGCTCACATACATCACACGTTGTTCCAACGACACGTGCTCACGCCCATCTGCCTATCTTCCATTGTGCTGGTGCACCTTACCTCCTCTCGCATCTACGTCGTGTCTGACATCGTGACGCTCTCGTCCCCCCGCCACCACCTTCTCCACGCTGCCTCGCGCCTCTGTGAACATAGTGTCCATGCAGACAAGGACGCACACAGGTGCACCTGATGTACGCATATGATGCAGCTGTCCCTCTCTGTCCAAGACACTCCCCAGTCACTGCTGCCGGTATCATAAGGAGTGTGTGCCCTTCCTCCCTCCGTCTGGTTGGCACCAGCATGCATGCGCGCAGCGCCTCCTCTCCACCAACACGGCACGCTCCTCGCCAAGACAACTGCAAGTATGCGTGATGTTGAGTCTGGGCCAGCTGTCCTTGCCAGACGGTGGATGGAGGAGCAGGAGAACAACGTGAACCTGCTGCTGCTGCATGTGGCCACTCGACTCCACCACCACCACCACAACAACAACAGCCATGGCAGCCTCCTCAGGCAAAGTCCACCGTGGCATGTGGCTCGTGTGATCAGGGCAATGCGGCCGTCTTAAGCGACAGCAGCGTGTCAGGCCAACGGTGATCAAGACCACACTCATGATCGAAGACAAGACGGTTGCTGTCGAACAACTTGCAGAGGTGTCATCAGGCCAGCTGGCAGACATTGTACGCGACGGGCGGGTACTCCGTTGAAATCGTCTCACCGCCACAGCAGCGTGAAGAGCAGCAGGCTGTTGATGGGGTGTCCACGTCCTCCACTTCAGCTTTGAGCACACCCGACAGGAAAACAGTGGCGCCTTCCAACAAGCGCCAAGACGCTGTTGCCGACACTCTTCGGAAAGCCATCACCCCACCCCAGCACAACAGCAGCTCCCCACGCCTCTGGGGTGCGTGCATGCACTTGTGTGTGTGTGTGTGTGTGTGTGTGTGTGTGTGTGTGTGTGTGTGTACTGTTCAGTGCTCCCTCGCTTCGGCATACTCTCACCCTCGGCACTTTCTCACTTCCACTTTCCACTTTCGCTGATGCGGTCGCGCTGCACTACAGGCATGCCGTGCACCTCATGCGTGCCCAACATTGAGGGCGCATGCCTGGGCGTGCACAGCAATGTGTCGTGTGGGCCTGCTCACTGGCACCGCGACGGTGAAGCCCTGCACCCATCATCGCCAGCATCAGCAAAGTCGGCGGATACAAAGGCCCGCGAGGAAATGCATACACCCGCACAAGGCATGACGTACCTCAGCATGTGGTATGCGATGTGCGCGGCACTGCATCTCTGCTTGTTCTCTTTTGCTTGCATGCACGCGCGGTTGCTTGTATGCACGCATGCCCACTTTCCACTTCAACCTCTCATCATGCTGCTGCTGCTGCTGCTGCTGTTGCTGGACATGCATGACAGGCGACGCTAAGGGCCCTGCCCGATGTTCAACGGTGCAGGTTGATGATGCGTTGGGCCGTATGCAAGTCAAACACGAGACCTATGCAACGGGACCACGCGACATGATCACGTGCGCATGTGTATGGGTGTGTGTGTATGTGTGTGCGTGTTTGCACTTGTACGTGTCGCTTCGTCTTGCTTCTTCTCTGCTTCCCCCTCCAACCGAATCCCTCCAACTGACTCTGTGTCTGTCCTTGCTGCAACACCTTCTTGCTACCCATCACCACTTACTAAAGAATGCCTTGTGTCATGCACTTCACACGATGCCCATTTGTTCCTGCAGCGCGCTGAAGGATGCTGGGGCACGCGTCGGAGCTGGACCACGAAGCACCACCACCCACCCACAGGAGCGAGATCCGCTTCTGCCCCATCACCTTCATCGTGTGCACCACCGTGTTTCTTCGTCACGTCCATCATCGTGGCCGTGTGTGGCCGGACTCCTGGGATGCGTGCGTCGTCGATGACATATCGCAACACAACCTCATTCTCACGCTGCTGGGTCTGATCTCCTTCATTTTCCCGGTCGGCCGTTTCGTCTCCGCGGTGCGGTCCACCATGCACGGCGCTGCCAACATGAATGTGGTATGTGTGCGTGTGTGTGTGCGTGTGTGTGTGTGCGTGTGTGCGTGTGTGTGTGTGTGTGTGTGTGTGTGTGTGTGTGTGTGTGATGTGTTGCGACCACTTCCGCGTTTTCTCTTCAAGCCCACCACCGCAGTGAACGAGAGAGCGCTGTACTTGCCTTCTTTGCTCACGTTTGCATGCGTGCACACGTGTTGCTGATCCACACGCACTTGCTCTTGCGTCGTCGTAAATCCACCTCAGGGTTGCGTACCTGTACTCTCTGGTGGTGCGCATTGTTGCACCCGCCGCCCACGATTACTTTGACTTGTGATGGTTGCGACCTCTTCTTTGAGACCGGCATTCTCCTCTTCACCTTTGTGTCGCCTGGGCGGTACATCGAATACCTCGCCAAAGGCAACACCTCCAGCCTGATGAAGGAAGATATAGTCAAAGGCAACCGCGTGGAGGAGCGAATTGACACCGAGCTCGTGCAGCGCGGTGACAAACTGAAGGTGCGTGATGAGGGGTTGGGTGTTGGAGTCAGTGGTGGTGCTTACATGTGGTGGTCGGTGATGGGCGGGTGGTTGGTTATACCTGCTGCAGCAGCAGCATTGTGGTAGTTGTTTGCAGCCCTCAGCTGCGGTTATGGCAGCCGCCAGAAAATGCACTGTCGTTGCATCTCGCTCACCTTCCCTCACGTTCTTGGTTGTAGGTGGTGGCCGGTGACAAAGTGCCTGTGAATTGATTGGACGCCCGCGTGCTGGAGGGTGCGGGTGAAATGGACGAGGCCATGGTCACGGGCGAATCAAAGCCCGTCTCGTCTCCAAAGGCGTTATTGTCGTATGGGCGGCACCATGGTGCATGGTCTTTGAGGCCACGCATGTTGACAACGAGGATGCTCAACTGTCAAAGGCGCCCATCCAGCAGGTGTGTGTGATGGATGCAATATGCTACACCACCGTTTCACACGTGCCTGTCAATGTTTCTGCAGACATTCCCACTCTCACACATACTCACACACCCTCTCCCTTTCCTTTCCCTCCTTGTTCTTTCCCAGACAAGCTGGCGGGGCGCTTTGTGTCAGGCGTCGTGTTGCTGTTGGTGTGTGGGTTGCGCTGCTGACCTCGGGTGCCGCTGACAAATTGGAGCTCACGTTCGGTGTGTGTGTGTGTGTGTGTGTGTGTGTCTTGTGTGTGTGTGTGTGTGTGTGTGTGCTTCGTACTGGTGCTCGCGAGTCGTGGTTAGAGAACACTCACACACTCACTCACTCACACCTCCATGCCCACACTCACCTTCACGCACTCACACGCACATACACACACGCTCTCTCACACACTCACAATTCTGCCAAGACGGGCACGCTGACGGTTGGATCTCCACAAGTCATGTGTGCGCGTGCTCGGCGATGATGACACGTGGACGGAGGAGGACGCCCTGTTGAAGCTGGTGGCGGCTGCAGAGGCAAACAGCGAGCATGCCCCTGGGCCAGGCGATTGTGGCACACGTCGGCGCTGTCTCTTGCAACGGACTTCAAGACGGTCTCTGGTCGGGGCATCTCAGCAACCGTGGACAGCAAGCATATTGTCATTGGCATGCCCATTGTGCTATGGGCATGCACATCGTGGTATTGGCAATCCAACGCCATCAGCGGCAAATCGCGGCAGACGATGCACGAAGATGAGGAGACGCGTGGCTGCACGGTTGTTGTGTGCTCGGCAGACGGCAACCTCCTGCCTGGGCTATGTGAGGTCTCGCTGACACGTACAAGCCCTAAAGGTGAAGAGGCGGTGCGCCTTCTGTGCCAGCACGGCTTGCGCCTGGTCATGCTCACACGGGCGACAACGAGGGCACTGCGCGGTCCATCGGGGGCAGATGTTGGCGTCGACACCGTGCTCGCAGGAGCGTGCAGGAGATGGAGGCGAAAGGACGACGTGGTGGCAATAGTTGGCGACAACATCAACATTGAGTCAGCGCACGTCGTTCTGATGATCAAGGACGACCTGCTTGCTGGAGGTGTTTTCTAGTCATACACCTGTTGCATGCGACCGTGCTCCGCATCCACTACAACGTTCATCTGGGCCGCGTGGTCTACAACGCCACCGGTGTGTGCAGGTGGTGGACACGGCGACGCGTGCGCTGCTGTTGCATCCTGGAGCAACTCCGCTGACGTTACGCGGCTTTGCGGCTGCAGCCATCCACTGGTCGTGGCCAGTGGCCACATAACCAGCGACGCCAACGATGAGTGCACACGATTCGCCACATCACCAGCGTCCACGTCTCGGCGATCCAATCCATTGCAACAGCCACCACTTCGTCACCTTCTCCTGTGCGCCTTTGGCATCATTTTGGCGAGGGCCATGGCTTCATCGGCACCATCAGCGTGTCTGCGAGCAGAGATCAGCACCTGCTTTTGTCAGAAAGCCGGCAGTTTTGGCGGCGTACAGCCTGACCTCCTCCTCGTCACTGTGCGTGTCCCTGATCCACACAGCCCCCTTGCAGCAGGGCGCTCGTGCTCGCTGCCGGGTACGATGGCGCAAAGTGTTTGGGACCTGGACGACCCCTGCCGTGTGGCCTTGAAGTCCCCGTGTGGTGGCCAGCACAATCGATCAGAGGCAACAGCGGGGGTGTGCACCAGCACCTGGATGGCGAGCGCGTCCTGACCGCGCATACCCTGGAGCAGTGGAACATGACAAGTGTTGCCATTGTGCTGTGGAGCATGCGAGGCTGGCAGCCCATCACGCAGCACCACGCCGGCCAGTGCAAGCTTCGAGTCAGCCACTTGGACACGCGACGCCAAGCACGTGCTCCTGTATGGCCGAGCTTCGCGGTGCCGGCTGCGTATTGTGTGCTCAGCTTCAACATGGGCAACACCACGGCCGTCGCAATCCACCCTGTTGGCCATCTAGTTTGACCGCAAGGCACGATGCTTGGCGCCGTTGCCCTTGTTACCCACCACGTCGAGGCGTCGCTCGAGCTCCCAATCACCTCCCGTTCAATTGACTGTGGCAGCGTTGCTGAGCTGCAGCGAGCCCTGTGCATGTTCCCTGCCACCGTGAGCACTGCCGTGGAGGATGCCGAGGCAGACACGCCGCCGTCTCTGTTGTCGATTGCGGCCAACAAAACCAGCCACGCGCCCGCACCCTGTGCCATTTCTTCAGCACCTCCACCAGCGTGTCCTGGCTCGACTGCAGCACAGAGCAGTTCATCGTGGACAAGGTGTGTGAGTTCGCCAGAGCCTTCTTCAACCCTAGCGATGACAAGCCCTGGCAGGGAAGCCCTGGTCACTGCGCGTCGCCCCTGACGCACACACTCGTGGCAGACGTCATCCTGCTTGTGTGCACGTTTACAAGCGAGCTTGAGCTTGCGACCTCCACCGCCGACAAGCAGTACAACCACCAGCAGCGGGCATGATTGTCTCACCAGGGCAGACAGGACATTCATCAGCGAGATGAGCAGCAGTACGTTTTGGCACAACCTGCTAAAGTTGTCTGGTGAGCTGGCCAAGCTTGAGGACCCTGGGGCGCGCGTGGTGCCACTTGTCGCGTGCAGCTGGTTTTGTGAATGATGGTTTCAGTCTACGGACGATGCGGAGCTGTTTGGCAGCTTCATTGTTCGCGTCAGCGCCAGTTGCTGTGGGAGGCAGCGTGGTGCATGCTCACCGTCGCCCTCATCAGTGGCAAGGACGTGGCCCAGCTGCTGCTGGGAGTTAGTGAAAACAAGTCGGTGGTGATCATGCTGGTGCTGGGTGTGCTGGCTGGTTGTGGACATGGTGCAGGAGGTGCGGCAGTCAAGGCTGGTTGGAAGTGACGAATGTAGTGTTTGTGTTTGTGTTTGTGGTGCGTACTCCTTCCCAGCACGCACACTTCCCAGCACGCACACACGTTCCTTTCACTGCGGTGCTGCCTGCAAGCATTCCATCCAGCGCATGATCCTGGCCCATCTGCTTCGACATGCGCCACTTCTTGCTCTGCTCGCCCTCTGGGTGGACGTCGTTCCGGTTGTTGCTGCTGCTCAACGACAACACGTTGTCGGGCAACGGCCTTGCTGCTCGTGTTCAACAACATGCTGCTGCTGGTGGTGGACTTTGACCTGGACACCTTTGACGGCGACTACAGTGGCGGTGCTGGCTGCTGTGCGTCCTGCATGTCATCTCCATGGTGCTGCTGAACCTGCTGATTGCGCTCGCGTCGGACTGCGCAGATGTTGAGTTCCAGCTGCTACGTGGCTGACGCATGCGGAGAAGGAGGAATCGATGTATGGATGTGCGACGCTTTTTCAAAGTGGTGGCTGCAGCGCGCAGTGGCAGGGTGTGCTGCATGCGCTGAAGAAGGAGGTGCAGCACAGCACGTGCAGAACGACGTTGCCGACCATCATAGAATGAAATGTGACATGCCGTGCAGTTGATGGTGTTGTGTTGGTTTGTCTTTGCGTTGGTGTTGGTTTATTGCTTGCACTTTGCGTCGTTCCAAACCCCACAATACATGCATGCTGAAGACACGTTCACAACTTCGTACGTAAGAAGAGCAAGTAAGTGCACACACACAATCAAGCAAAGTGGTGGTCCTTGAGTTCTCCAAACGACGGGCGCTCACGCGGGTTCTGCGTCATGCACTTGTACGTCAGCGACTGGAACCACTCGGGGATGGCTGTGCGGAGGGGTATGTGTGTACATGTGTGCGTGAGCGTGAGTGACGTGCAAGCAAGCAATCCAAACACGCAAACACACACACACACACCTGCACACACACACACATACACACACATGCACATACACACACACATGCACACACACACACAGACACACACACACACACACAAAACTCACCATCTTCTTCACCATCATCAAATCGCAGCCGCTTCCCATCCTTCATCAGGTTGCTGATGGTGGCGAGGATTGGTCCCCGATACCCGCTCCCCTTCTCCTGCTCAATCAGATCAGGTGGTCGCTGCGTCGCCACCTCCCACATCAGCACGCCAAAGCTAAACACGTCTGCCTCAAAGCTGTACTTGTCGCCCGTCAGTGCCTCTGGTGCCATGTACAGTGGCGTCCCCACGCCAGCCGTCAGCGTCATGCTCGTCATCGTCTGCAATCCAGCCTGCTGGCTGTACTGGGGATCATGGCTTGAGGTGGGGGAGAGACTTGTGCGCTGCTGGTGCTGGTTTCTGTCACGTGTGAAGCACTGGCGGATGGACCCGAAATCCGTAATCTTGGCGCGAAGCGATGATGACACCAGCACGTTGCCGCTCTTGCAGCCCCTGTAAAGTGGATGGTGGATGGGTGGGTGGAGATGAAGGGGTGAGCAACCTAGCAACAAACACGTGCCTACACATACACACACACACACACACACACACACACACTCTCACTCACACACACACACACACACACACGTATGCATCTGTTCGAGTCTG